CAGGATTGAAAGATAAAACTGGGATCACTGGTGTGTAGTTTGAATAGAAGTGTGTAATAACACATGGTTAAAAAAATTTAAAATTTAATGTTCTGAAATATAGCGTTATATAGAACAAGATGGAGATTTTAGGGTGGAGGTTTCTTTCTTCTTTACCTCCTTCTTCACAGCTCTAGGTGGAATCTTGTTTAATTTAATAGAAAAATCCACATTGCAAGTCACGAGTGTTTGGTTATTGGATTAAAAGTAAAACATAATTTAGGTGTCCATTTTTAATTGGACTGTTTGGCCTTAAAAAGCCTCATAGATAAAAATAAAGATATGTTGTCATTTTGCCATTTTAAACCTATTAGCTAAAGTGCTGTAGCACTCACTGTAATATAAATAAAACTAATAAACTTCTAAGTCCAAACATAAAATACCATCTCTCAAGCTTTCAATCCCAACCCTGGGAAAAGAAAAAAAAAAAGAAAACAAAACACAATACACAGGCAGCGGTTCCTAGCCCCATACCAGCCCCTGTGGATTTGTGACAGTTGGTCTGGACCCAAACAGAGCCAGTTTAGCTGATATTACAGACCCAGCCCTGCACCTCTGTCCCTACGCTGTTTTATTGCCAACACGGCCATGGTGCTGCTCCAGGACATTTTGTCATGGATGTTCTCACAGGAGAGGGTTGATGGAGCCTTTCCTTCCCTCCTTGCCCTGCTCCTGCCCAGGACACTCAGCAGTTCTGCTGGTACATTAGTGGGACCAAAGCTGTTGCAATCACACCACAGGTAAGTGAAATCTCTGGCTTTTACCCTAAAAATTAATTGACCTTTCAGATTACAGCAGCTCTGTATTTAATCAGCGATTTCCCCTGTGTCAAGGACAGAGGTGTTGTGCAGTGAGTTTATTGCAAGAACAGTTTTGGTAGAGGAATATGATATAAAATCTCAGAAGGAAGGAAGGAAGGAAGGAAGGAAGGAAGGAAGGAAGGAAGGAAGGAAGGAAGGAAGGAAGGAAGGAAGGAAGGAAGGAAGGAAGGAAGGAAGGAAGGAAGGAAGGAAGGAAGGAAGGAAGGAAGGAAGGAAGGAAGGAAGGAAGGAAGGAAGGAAGGAAGGAAGCCCAGCTGTTGGATCAAATCCCATTTGCACACAGCTCCTGTTCTTACACAAGGGATGAAATCCCAGGGAAAAGTTCAGGCAAAGGAAAGAATCTTGGTTGATTTTCCATGATCAAAAGTCTAAGAGCTGTATTATTTCTCTATCAACTTTGGGAGATGAGCAGTGATGTGCTGAGCAGCCTCATCTTGTCATTTCTTCTTTCTTGGGAAAAATTCCCATCATGAATTTTTCACTGCAAATGTAAGGCATTAAAAGTGTCTAACACACCTCTGGGACTTTGAAAAGGACTGTGATAGAGCAGGGAGTGCAATTAGAAGATGGGTGCCTACAAACTGATGAGCTCTGGCTTGTATTCATTTAGACATTTACTCATTTTAAAAATCTACTTCTCACTTCCAGCATTGGTGTCTGCTCACAAGGGTGGTCCCTGTGCTTTGTCCAGGTTTTCTTGGAATTTGTTCTGCTATTCACCCAATTCCTAAGACAGCAACCTGAAGATCACTCATGAGTTCATCCTGGGTCTCCAGAACAGCTGAAAAATAGAAAAAAAAATTTACAAGAAATTAATTATGAATTAAGGTCTGGAATCTGATGACAAAGAAGTCTGATGATTTTCAGGCTTGGGGATTGCAACAGAGATAGAGATAAGAAATTGCTTTGAGCCTTTTTTATTGCTGTTTTCCCCAGAAAGAAATCCAAAGAAATATTTCTCACTTGGAGATTATTAGCTGATAATCCATCCCATACTGTTTTATGGCCTGATTTTAAAGATATCAGTGTACAAGCTGAAAGCCCTTCTGGCTCCTGATTGCAGATAAAGATAAATTTTAACCACATGCTGTCAACAAAATGTACATTGGGAAAGAAATTAGCCAGTGTCACAACCTGGGTTATTTTCCCCTAAATCCATTACCCCCACATACTTCTGTTCTATATTTCCCACTTGCTCCATTTTATGAAGCTCCCTGCTGTCAGTGTGGCATTTAAATATCTGAAATAAAATTGCCAAAACTCCACTCCTTGGTTTTTTTTTTTGTTTTGTTTTTTTTT